GACATTTTTGCCAATAACTGATAAGCGAATTATTGGAAATTAAAGGTAAATTGTTATTGCTTTTTAGCCTTCAATGTGATGCGCTTATTTGTTCTCAGCTTCTTAAGGGTTTTCAAACTCGCACTACCATCATACGGCAAATGCTCGATCAGCTACTTTGAAGTGACGCGGCTGTCCACAGGTGACAACTGTAAGTTTCAAGGTCAATGGAGTTAGATATTCAGGCACAGTCGCCGAACAATTCAGTTGTATTAACTCACCCTCCATATCCGGCTGCCCTTGCTCTCGTGCAAGGGAAATAAATTATTTTAAAAGTAAACCCGTGTTTTACTCAGTGGCGCCCAACGTGGGGCCACACTACAGTTAACGGTAAAAATCCTTATAAAGGACAGAATTTTGTGGCCGTGGCACTAAGGGGTATTTGAGGCAAAAAACCGGTCAAAAGTGGTTTTTCTAAAATTCATAAAATGACACAAAAATTGCATGTTTAAATAAGTACGATAACCGGTTCACCACCCCCCAGCCCCCAAACCCGCGTGTTTTACTGCGTCTGGCCACATAATCAGTCGGAACCTAGCCTTTGTGTGTAACGCGTGTCTTTGTTCTCGGCGCTTTTGATTATTTTACATATTTCTCTGTGTTAATATGTCTTCGTATGGTGAATTACCACAAAAATTAGTATTGAATATGGATGTTGAAGGTATGTACTTTGTATAAAAATATGTTACATTTAATTTATCGTCAAAGTTCCGCATTTATACTTATGTTGAAAATTTCCTTCTTAAAAACGTGGTATTTTTAACAAAAGTTTAAAACAATAGTGTTTTTGTTTATGTGTCGGGCTTTGTCGCCTTACATTTAAAATGTGATTATAAAGTTTGAACCTTTTCCTATCTGAATGAAAAATAAAATCTCCCCCCGACCCACCCCAACCTTTTTAAATTTTTTTTAGTCAAAGGCAAAATTTTTCAAAATATATAGTTTTTTCTTTATTTTTTTCTTTTATAATACATCGAAAATCAAGCTAAAAATCTGAAGGAAACTGTAGACAGGGAAATATCAGTGAAAATCAGTCACAATATTTTGCTGACAGTGGTAGACGGAAAGGTCTGCAACTCCACAACGGACACTGCATCAACTATGCGATGTTATATATGCAGACATCAAAGGATTTTAACAAACTAGAGAAAGGTGCGGTTAAAAAAGAAGCCCCAAATTTTGGGCTCTCAGTACTCCATGCCAGAATACGCTTTTTAAGACTGCTGTATTTAGCAGAGCCGTGAACCGGATGAAAAATTTTGTCGGTTCGGTTCAGCGGTTCGAACCGTTTTTGAACTTTTGGATTGGTTCGTCACAGCGGTTTTTTGGTCTTTGAACCGGGGTTTCGGTTCGGTTCAACGGTTCGAAAAACAAACAACTAATAAAGTCTAAGTTCGGGCGGAGCCGAACATTAAATACCCGGAGCAAGTATTAAATATATGATTTTCACCTCTCCGAAAGCTACCGTAACATGGTAAGCCGGGTGTATCAATTTGGAGTAACTTAGCGTCCTTAAATTTCGAAATATTGGAAGTTTCAAGCATTTCTGAAATTTAGCGTTATATGAAAAGCGGCCTCAATTTTACTCTGATTTCAATAATTTTCGACGCTTTGCTTTTATTTGGCAAGCACAATAGCCATACCGAGTTTGGTACAAATTGGTAGAACGGTTACCGAGATACATATATGTGTACACAAGTGGGCGGTGCCACGCCCATTTTCCAAAATGTTATCATAAACGTATTTCTTGGCAAAGAATTGTTGCAAGCATCAATTTTGAATAAATTAGCTTTAATATTTACTGATTTATTCAAGATCTCGTATTTCTCCAAATTACCGTTATATGTCCGATTTTATCCATTTTCAATACCATCCGTCCCACGCCCGAAAGAAGGGCACGTACAAAGTTTCGTTAAGATATCTCAATTTTTACCCGAGTTATCGTGTGCACAGACGGACCGGCGGACGGACAGACGGACGGACAGACAGTCACCGCTTAATCGATTTCTTCTGTATACATTTGTCTATATATATCTCGAGTCGTTTTACCTGTTACAAACAACCGTTATGTGAACAAAGTTATAATACCCTTGTGCACAAGTGCGCACGGGTATAAAAAATAACTCGCAAGTTTAAGTGTCAAGTGCAACAACGCGCAAGGTTAAGGATCTAGTGTCTGTCAAATGAGATGGGTTGGCTTTACATTTGATATTGTCACATGGTAAACAAACATGGTAGGTATTACCATGTTTAACAAAAAGAAAAAAAGTGGGTACATTTATCTATTAAAAATTGGTTGAAACGGACCTTCAAACCTTTATGGAAAGTGGTTCGGTTTTCGGTTCGGATCAAACATTTGTGGAAAATTTCGGTTCGGTTAACGGTTCAGTTAATTAATAGAAAAAAGCGGTTTTCCGGTTCAAAACCGGTTCACGTCCCTGATATAAACAACCCCTTAAGAAGTGGCAAGCCCGTACACCGGAAGAGAAAAAGGTTGTTAAAGAAACAAAAGAAAAATTACAGAAATCTTTCCGAGAAGAAATGGGTCTACTTGTTGATGTTCCTAAAGCTGGCTATGGAAATAGCAATGATGAGAATACGTCCAGGAGATTTTTCCAAAATTCAGAATGCTCTCGCATTACCGGCATCAACTTGAAATTAATCAATAAGTTTAAAGAGATTCTTGAGGTAATCTCCAGTGGCCATGAGGTCGATCACCAAAAATTTGATGATTATGCCCAAGACACTGCCAAACTGTATGTGGAATTGTACGGCTGGCATCCAATGTCGCCTACAGTCCACAAAATTCTGATGCAATTCTGCCAATTGGACAATTATCCGAGGAAGCCGCTGATGCGCGAAATAAGCATATTCGCAAATATCGGGTAAAGAAAATCTTGCCATTTTCCGCCGAGGCAAAAACCATTTTGATTGCTGCAACACCGAACTTATACCCTGTGGGGAAAATCTCTAGTTCTGAACTGGTGCGCTTCTAGTACATTTAGACCCAGTACTGGTTCGCGATAAATCTCTTTTGCATGCAAGCAACTGGCGAATGTAGCATGGCGATGTCCTAGGAAGTGTCAATTGCCCCCCGCTGCATCCCTTTTTCGATAGTTCCGAACTAGTCCTAAATTCTATAGTTCCGAACCAGTTCTAAAATCGACAGACGAAAGAAAAAAGTATGATTTTTCAATATTTTGGTTCTTCCGTGTGTGCGATTTTAAGTTATTTTGGAAGAAATATGTTTTCAATTTGAAATTAAATTTGTTTGAATGATTGTAAGAAATGTACGTTTACATACCTTTAGCTGTAGCTGAGTTTGCAGAGGTGCTCGCTGTTATTTCTTAGATTCCAGACGGTCCCAAGATGTTGAAATGTTAACACAAATTTTAGTTTTGTATTACCAAGCTATGAAAAAGCATCTGCGAAGCACAGAATAGAAGCGTATTTGAACGAAAAAGCCGCCGAACACATATCTATGTAAAGTAAACACGCCCCGGCTGCATCCCTTATTCGATAGTTCCGAACTAGTTCTAAATTCGACAAATAAGATCTAGTTCGTTCTGCATCCCTTTTTCTATAGTTCCGAACCATTTCTAAATTCGTCACTTTAGATATAGATTTCTAGTGAAAAAAACTGAAAAAAACTAGTTTTTTAAAAGTACCACTTTTCGCCGATTTGGGACTGGTGGGGATCTAGTTCCTATCGGACTAGTTCCTTTTTGGCGATAATTACCTAGTACGGAACTAGAAATTTGATTCACTAGTCCGCGATTTCCCTGCAGGATATAGGTCGGACGACAATACTGTTCAAGATATTGATGATGATGAAGACGATTCGGATGTTAACAGCGAATCGGATGGCAACAGCGAATCGGATGGCACTGATTCAGAATAAAATCAAATTTTCTAAAATTTTTACTTAAAAAAAAAATTTTTCTGGTTTTTTATGTATTTTTATTAATAAATCCAAAATATTGATTATATATTGTTTTTTATTATATTTTGAGATAATATAGTCTCCTAAATAATTTTGACCGGTTTTTTGGCTCAAATACCCCTTTGTGCGTGGTTCGAATCCACCGTAAATAAAAAACTTAAGAGTGAAAACATAAACTTCGAAAAATATTAAATAAGAAAACAAACTACATAAATAGTAAAAACCACCTAAAAGGAAAACTGTGACGCGATGAGAAAAACCGTTGAAGGACAAATTATCAGATTGTCAAAGGCTAGTGAAAAACAATTAAGCGATAAAAAAGCAAGAAAACATGGAGTGGCTTAAAGAGCTTGACAAATTTTATAGTGAAGAAAAAAAAAAAAACAGTTAAAGTTACAATTCAACAAAAAAGGGGGCATACGTAGCCTGGAAAAACTCTGAAAAGCTGAAAAGCGTATTTTATAATAAAAAATTAGGCATTGCACGCCATGTAGAGACGACGGGACAGTACGAGAAACGAAGGACCTGGAGCAGATTTACTTAAGCGAGATATGAAAATATGTATGTAAGTAGAGTGTGCCGCAGCTATTTATTTCTAATCCTATTAAATGGCAATGATGTTATCGAATTAAAAATTTTGACTAAACGGTGAAACAAATTTCTTTTTCCCCAAGAGTTTCAGTGAGTTGAGAACTTTAGCTAAATAGGGAGAGAAAAAAGTTAGTGTTAAAAGTGTTCGTTTCTATAGGAAAGAATTGAATCGACATAAGGAGTTATTATCAAAAAAAATTTAAAAGCTTATTCAGACAGGACAATTGACACACAAACTATGCAGGCACTTCTTAGTACCGCGGTCCGTACTGCAACTGACCATTCCCGTCGGGAATTTCAATCCCGAATAGATGAACTCACTAACAGGATAGCTAGAATTGATACGCCAGCTCAAGTTGCGCAGTATGAAGCGGTTACTATCCCACGCAACGTGTCGTGCGAAGAATCCTTGGATCTTGTGAAGACCATGCCAGAATTCAATGGTGATCCAATACGGTACGTCTCTTGGAGGCAGGCGGCACACACCGCTTATAACGTGTTTGAAAGCTATGAAGTTCTGTTATAAATAGAAAACCCATAGACGTAATTCATTCGATACCAGATGAGTTAAAGGACGAAATAGGAGACATTTTATGAGGACACAACACATTGACTTAAAAAGACGCAATGCTGGGAAAAAGTTGAGACAATATAGTCCAGGGGATAAAGTTTTCGTAAAAACTAATATAAGAATAGGCAAAAAATTCACAAAACTTTACATTAAACAAGTAATTTTTAGCAAAAAAAACCGACTTCAACTCTCATATAAAAAAAAATATATATATATATATATCTCATGATCCACTGGTCGGAATTATCGAAATCGGTTGACGTCGTCCAAAGTTATGCGGTAACAAACAAAAAAAAAAAAAAAAAAAAAATATTCCGACGAATGATAACCTCCTCCTTTTTTGGAAGTCGGTTAAAAAACATGGCAAAAGAACCTCGGGTCGACTGTTTTAATCGACGGCCGAAAGGTCCACAAATGTAATTTGAAATATTAACGATACCCTTCCTCTCTTTTACAGAACCGCCATACTGCTAGGCTTTTTGGCCGAAACAAAAATTCTAAATTACACTATTTCTTATTATATCCCAATTACAAGCGGCAAAGTAGCTATACACAACGAATATAAATTTTTATTGCATAAGACCAACCTATCCCAATTTGAAGCAATAGTTGAAGATACGAACAGGCTCTAATAGAATCTCAGGAACAGCAGATATCAATAAACACAAACTTGCAGGAACAGATAATTGCGCTAACGGTGACAGTAATGGAATTATTGAAAAATGCTATGCAGACTCAAATAGATACAGGCAACCCTTTTTCCATAGCCACTGCCAAAAAGAGAGCAGTGATAATGGAATTAAAATCCGTTATAACATCAGTCACTCTAGGAAAAATAAAGGTTATAAATCCTATTTTGTTGAACGGTGTAGAAATTAAGGACATCTTAGCTGCGGACCACTCTGCCAACGTTAGCATAAGCGATTTATTACAAATTTCTAAAATTAAAAAATTTTAAGATATGTAATGTATTTATTTTATTCTAAAATACCCAGAACCCAGTTTGTTACCGTGTAAAGTTGTTGCCTGTGGTACATGATTAGACGATAATTTCTTTGGAAACGGATGCCGTAACTGAATGCGCCGGAAATTACATTCCACTGCACAATCGCAAAGAAACTATGATGACGAGCTTTTGCCAGCCGTTGAAGGAAAGTCCTTGTACGCTACAGCTGCTAAATAGAAACTCTGCGAACTGTAAGTCAAAATCTGCTGATCACGTTGCCCTTATCGAAGAAATTGACAATGGCATTGTGCTAATTAACAATCAACCAGCATCGGTGTAAGACGGAAACTTAACGAAATTGACAAAAGGTACTTGATCATATAACCTTATTATCTCTCCCATACTTACATAAGATCAACATAAAGAATCTCAACCATATGACGCATGTGCAGAGCCCCATCAATACCCGCACCTTACAGTCAGGAAGCGCCCTACTCCTGCTCCTAATAGTCATTGCTATGATTCTAACAATCTTCTTGAAACGACGACAAAGCAATACAGTTATACTGAATAGAGTCATAAGAGAAGCCGAGGACGCCTCCACTCCAAGAGGGGGAGTAGTTTACACCAGCAACAGCTATCAGGCGGGAATTCCATTCCCAACCAAACTGCTGACGATGCGTTGGCAAATTTGCGCGTGACAACAACTTAATTCCCAACAACATATAAAAGCGAACAGCGTAAACCTATACTACCATCATCCTCGATAAGCTACAACTGCAGGTAAACAGCGACTGCAACGATTATCATGCTAAAGCGAACAGCGTAAACCGATACCACCATAATACGGCAAATGCTCGATCAACTACTTTGAAGTGACGCAGCTGTCCACAGGTGACAACTGTAAGTTTTAAGGTCAAAGGAGTTAGATATTCAGGCGCAGTCGCCGAACAATTCAGTTGTATTAACTCATCCGCCATAATGGGCCGCCCTTGCTCTCGTGCAAGGGAAATATATTATTTAAAAGTAAACCCGTGTTTTACTAAGTTATATGCATTGAAATTAACAAAGGCAAACAAATATTAAGTTCAATGCTATCATATTAGTTTTTATTTAGAACAGGGGGTTATGGATGTATTCTAAAATGTAGACAAGAGCCACAATAAAGATGAAATAACGCCCGCGGGTGTTGCTGCACTCTACCGAGGCATTTCACCACAATGGTTCCATCCTTCTCATACCCACGAGCATTGGCTGCAGTGCTGTAGGCGATGACGGGCTGGATCACGTGGCTCTTGCAGTATTTAATTTCTGAGGTCTGTGTGGCTGATACCGCTTTCTTCTGTCGCTGTCTTCAATTGCTCTTCGCAAGGTGGAATTAGGCAATGCCACACCAGTACCCGCCATACTATGACTCGTAGAGACATTGGTGGGTGTAGCCGCTGTTTTCCTTCTCTTGCAGCGTTCACCAGCAGATTTGGATGTCGGTTCACCCACCATGGTCCCACTGGCTTCTGGAGCTCCGTAGACCTGGACCTCTTACTGGATGCAGCGAAAGAAGAAGTTCGGTCAGCCACAAAAGAGGTTTTCTCCTGCTTTTGTTTCGCCTCCCCGATTCTTTCTCCTCTTCTGGGTTTGTGAAAGAGGACCCACTCCGTCATTGGATGATCGTTGGCAGCGAGCTGCTTCTCTACCCACATCCCCTGCAAGAGATTGGTCCTCTTCCGACTCTGAAGAATAGAGGATTGGCTCTCCTCCAGGATGCACTCCTGGCCTATGACGCTGGAGACTTTAGAAATGGTTCGGGCCTCCAGAATCACACGTGTAAGTACCACCTGTAGTATTACCAAACGTTGTGCCATTACCATGATGTACAGTTCTGTCCCAATCTGCCAGGGTAGGTGGGTATTTTTCCTGTCATCCTCCTACTTCCCGAGATGCACGAATGCCATTCGGAACACACACCAAATGGATTTTAGTCGCCTTTTATGACAAGGATGCCTTACTTCGGGTATATTCTCGCGCCTAGCCCTCAGGCCTATAAAATGTTGAATTTATGTTGAAGTGTAGGGAATGGGACTCTTATTATTGGAAGCCTTGAGAGCCAGGGTAGCCTATCAGACATTTAAAAAGTATTAATGCATTACTAAAGCGAAACGGCAATAGCCCGATTCACGCTCCTTTAGTTTTCTTTTACTATAATAGGAAGCATCACGTAGGTGAAATAAACTTTTCAATAGAAGACCGTAAATACTATTAATCTATCTAATATTACCAAACAAATTTTTTAGATCGCCTGCCTGGCTCTCATGGCATATTTAATAAAAGTTTTTGAGTGAAATAATGAGTAAATGCTGATTTAACTCATTTTGCGCATAATGATTACATTACCAGTTCTGTACTATTAATATACGTTTGAAGAAGTAAAAAGTGACGTTTGGCGTGGAATACCGCGTATACCTAAAATGTAATACTACGTATGCGGCTGCGGTTTCGCGCGAATCGCTCGACATCGCTTACAATGTATCTGCGTAAATTGGTTAACGGGCTTACCGAAACCACAACATACAAAATATATTTCAAAAGTTTTGAAGAAAACAAATTTTTTTGCTCTTGCATTTTTCGGATACGAGGTATTGCTCGCCAACCGATGATGTATGTACGAGTATTTTATATTTATGTGTACAAAAGTTTATTATTGCATACCATTTCATCTACAGCGCGGCTCCAAAGAAGATCGCTTTCTTGTTCGTCAATGTAAAGCTGCGATAAACAAACTCTTCGAACAGAATCTTCGCATTCAACTCTCGGATGCATCATTCGTTAATTTGCAAGTACAATTTAATGTCGGTGACTTTAAATTTGGACAAATTTCCCCTCATGCCAAGCTTACAGAGGCAATAAACCGTTTGTTCACCTGCATGGAGCGTATTAATGGCGTAAGCGGAATATTGAATTTGAGTCGCTTTAATGCCCAAACTGAATTTTTCGACTTGATTGTTAATCTGGGCAATCGTACAGTATTTGAAACCGTTTGCAATTTAATTTATCGGAATGAGAAATTCAGATTAGTGAATGGATTTAACCTCAGCGAAAATGGTATTACCTCTGTAGCGCCACTGGCGGTATTTTCTGGAGTATCTTTTGCAGTTTTGGATTTAAGAAAAAATAAAGTAAGTTTTATTTTTCAAAAACATTGATATACGAGGGACACTAAGTAAGTCTCTAGACATGATTAGTATACTGTTGCATATACTGGTACCTCAAAAACATGGTTTTTGAACGTGCCAATAGCTTCTGGCGATAAAAATGGTTGCTCGCGCAGTTTATCTTTGATGTACGGGTACAATGAAGAAATCATTACGCGCTAAATCAGGACTGTACAGCGAAGGACCCATCAATTTGATGCTTTAAGTGCTTAAAAAAATAATTTGTTTGCTAGATGTGTGAGAGGTCACATTGGCTTGATGAAATACGTCACCTGTTATGATGTAATTTAACTAACCGCACTAATCGACACGAGCTACATTATGTGGGATCCAACGGGCTCATACATAGATTTCTAACCAGGGTTCGTATTTGCACACACATGCGCAGCACATCCTAACATTTTACGCTCACACACGTGTGCTGTGCATATAAAAAATTAAAAACTCTAACATTATTTTTATTTATATAAAGCACACGTACATGTGGGTGCTTGGCGTAGAGAAACGCATACACTTCGAATTCTAACTCAAATCCTAAAATAATTTTTTAATGTTTTCTGTCATATAAAAAACAAACAACATGTAATTTTTTTTGAATTGTTTTAAAAAAAATAACGTTTTATAAAAAAATGTCTTTAAAAAATATATTATGTGCATGTGCATGAGCAGAAATTTGTACAAAAATCGGCTCATACACATGTGCATGCGCTTAATAACAAACAGCACACACTTTGCTATGAGCAGAGTTTGTTTTCCACTTCTGCACACACACGTGTATGAGCAATGAGGGGATGTATTTCTGGCTTGTGAGCATGTATGCGCTAATATGAACCCTGTTTCAGGGTTCGTATTTGCACACACATGCGCAGCACATCCTAACATTTTACGCTCACACACGTGTGCTGTGCATATAAAAAATTAAAAACTTGCTCACATCACATGTGTGTGCTGTTTGGTAAAAAGCACGGGCACATGTGTGTACTTTATTTTTATTAATATAAAGCACACGCACATGTGTGTGCTTTGCGTAGAGAAACTTATACACTTCGATTTCTATCTCAAATCTTAAAATAATTTTTTAATATGTTTTCTGTCATATAAAAAACCAAGGCACATAAATACAGGTAGAAGCCAAAATGACGTTGCTCTCATGAGAACCAAACCTTTAAACTTCAACTTGTTTCCCTTTTATTTCCTATATTTCGTTACGCTTTGAGTGACATGTCGTTCTTTTTTTGAATGTTCGTTAATGACAAATTTTAATTAGCATTTGAATTTTTGTAGTGTTGTGCGGTTTATACTTAGTGTATGTGTTAAAAATGCATTACCGGAAGCGCTGTTATGTGGTGTTAAATATAATGCAGACACCACTCATTTTTTTAACGTGCCTCAATGTCCTTGGCGTAAGGAGCGTTGGGAAAGCAGCTGTGGGCTAGAGCTGCAGCGAAATGCCTTGCTGTGCGTTAACATTTTAAAGCACCAGATTTCATAAATGCACCGGGAGGTACAGGAAAGGCACGTTTGAAGCCAAGTGCTGTTCCTATGACCCTTATACCGGAAAGTCCCTCCAACAACACTGCAACTCATAAATCAAAAACAGAAAACAACATACAAATTAACAAATTTTAACTAAAGAAAATAAATAAATAAAAATAAAACTTCAAATTTACTTAAAAAAGTCAACCAGCAAAATGTAATTTTTTATTTTTCCTTACACACGCTCATTTTTATTTTTACTCTCCCGAAAACTTTGACTTTTGTAGGTTTGATGTCAATTTGGCTTCTACCTGTTTTTATTGTACCATGATAAAAAACAAACAACACCTCACTTGTTATTGAATTGTCTTTCAAAAAATAACGTTTAATAAACAAATTCTTTTAAAAATATATTATGTGCATGTGCATGGGCTGAAATTTGTACAAAAATCGGCTCACACACATGTGCATGTGCTTAATAACAAACAGCACACACTTTTCTGTGAGCAGAGTTTGTTTTCCACTTATGCACACACATGTGTATGAGCAGTGAGTACAAGTTGAATGTGTTTCTGGCGTGTGTGTGAGCAGAGCATGTGTGTGCAAATACGAACCCTGCCCTGTTTATAACGACCAAATGTTCATGCAGTATTGTGTGTATGGCGTGAATGCCTAGGGCCGCCACAATTTCACTATGCCAGTGTTTTCTGGCATACAATCCGATATTGGACGATCTTCTCGATGTTCATCGGCGAGCGAAGTACGACCACGCTTCAATGCATTGTACCAATTATATCGATGCGCCCTACGAAAACCTCTTGAAATATGAATTTGAAACTTTGAAGTGAATGTAAACTAAGCGCGCACGTACTGTAAAATGTTTGGAGTAATGTTGCAAAATCTAAAGACTTATTTGGTGCTCCTTCTAGATACTTTCATAGATACATATATTACCTGAAAATCTGATACTTCATAGAAAATAAAAAAATTATGCCGTTTGAAAAAATAATTTAAGTGTCTTACAGGCTTAGCTCTTTCAAAAATTCGATTTCCTATATAATCCGGTCAATTTAGACATTCGAGGTTACAAAAATTCCCACCCAGCTGAAAATTGGAAAAAAAGTTACTCGGGGGCAAAGGTCACAAAAACGGGTTTTCGCGATTTTCAGCGAAACTGTAAGTTTATCATAAAATTAGTTTAGACAAAAATTGTAGGTCAGATAATTATCTATAAAAAATGTCAAAATACTTTTTTTCCTAGGAGCCACCGTTTCCGAGATATAACGATTCAAAAAGTTGGAAGAGTTGTAATCGGCATAATATGTATACGTACAACAAAGGTGGCGAGAGTCTCGATTATGTCAGTCCATCTAACGCTATTAAAGGCGTTTCTCATGTCTAGTGTTGCCAGGAGGACTATTTTCCGAGAGTGGTGATTTCCTTTCTGCGCGTCCTGGAAACCCTCAACGACGTCTTGGACGGCTCCCAATGTGAATCTTCCTGGTCTAAAACCGTGTAGTCTGGGCGACAGCCCTCCTGCCTCCTGTATTTCCCGTGTTAGTCGTGGTTTTAAAAGTCATTCGTAGAGCTTTACCGCGGTATCGAGCATGCACAATGGCCAGTATTCCCCCGGAGACTCGAGTCCCCTTTTTCTTTGCTAATAAGCGTTAGTTGCTGCTTTTTCCATCTTTCCGGAAATATTTCTTCTTTTAGGCAGGCTTTGTAGATATGTAGCAACATATTCGGGCGTGAGTTTTCGCTTTCCTTTAGAACCTCCACAGGAATACCGTCCGGGCCAGAAGCCTTGTTGTCTTTCAGCGTTTTAAGGGCTGTTTTGAGTTCTTCCTCTGTGAGAGGTGGGAGTGCTTCGGGCTGCATAACTTCCGGGTCGACTGCTCTTGTTGGGTGATTGGGGAACAATAAATCTACGATAAAATGCATACATTTTGCTGTTGAGAGTTGGTTTCTTTTGACAGGTCCCAAGTTTCTGCATGACTATTTTGTAGCCTAGACCCCAGGGGTTGGTATTTACGCCGTTTCGAAGTTGCTCCAATTTTTTCGCTTTGCTTTTCCGAATTGCCCTTTTCAAGTCCCTTTTAGCTGTCTTGTACTCTTCCATTGTGACTGTTGTAACCAGGGCTTCGGAGCGGAGCGAAGCAAAGGAGCAAGGAGTTAAGGAGCAAAGGATTTTGGCTGGAGCGGAGCTGGAGCAAAGAGCTAAACAAAATTATTTGCTCCTTAGCTCCTTAATGAAAATTAAATTTACTAAATTTTTTTGCTACTGAAAACTACAGTTTTAAATAAATTTTCGTTATATTTTTACTTGACAGTACTGTTCATTGCACAATACCCAGCAGTAAGGGATAATTGCCTCGCCAATTTAAACGGCGATAAAAAACAATAGGGCTATTCAGGATCTTGTGCATATGCTCTTGGATTTGCATATTCGGTGCATTTGTAAATTCACAACAATAAAATGCACGCCATGACAGCAAGCAAAAAAATTGCAAATGCAATTGCATCTGCAAATACAAGACTATTTCCACAACATCCAGAACAGCCAAGTCATTATTCCCACCTAGCACAAAAATGTAAATTTTGCCAACAGTGCGATTTCGTACAATTCTCCATATCCGGAAACGAACGGAAAGCGACTACAATTTTTGTTCATTTACGTATCCAAAAAAGTCAAAAAACGTGCGGTTTTCGTATCCGGAAATGAACAGAAAACGATTACAATTTTCATTCATTTTCATATCCGGAAAACGTTCGAAAGTGATGATGTTATTTGAAAGCAATAATTGTATTTTATTCGTCCAAGCTGAACATTTGAAAGCATGTATACGTAGTCAGCAGTGGCTGAGCATACAGAGGATCGTGGCAGTATTTGTTAGCTTTCTGAAAGTGTCGGGTTCGAATGACTTCAGGCGCTTCTTTGATTTTTTTCGGGCCATGAAAAAACATTTGTGAAGGAAAGCATATTGAACGAAAATAGAAGAAAATTTTCAAAAAACAGCCAATTACGTAGCAATTTTCGTATCGTCAAAGTATCAAAAAACGAAATCGGTAAACGGACAAAAATCCGCATTTCATCCACTTTTTTCCTTTTTCGGATGCATTTTCAGATTTTTTCTGGCTGGGTTATTATCTGCCATTTTATTTACAAGACAAAATACATTGGGATCATAATTTTTTGGACGGTTGGGGATCGATATTTATGTAAGTAATTAAATAAATAAAACGCTTTTTTGGGAGCGCGAGCGGAGCTCCGAGCGAAATAAAATACCGGAGCGGAGCTAGAGCGGAGCGATAAAAAAGAAACATTTGCTCCGAAGCCCTGGTTGTAACACCTTTCTCTAGTAAGCTTTCTCCTTCTCTGGAGACAGAGTCGTCGAAGAAGAGCTATTTTCTCCGTCAACCAGTATACAGCTCTTTTCTTGAATGGTTTGGCTTTGGGCATGGATGCGTTGCAGGCTTTGACAATCGTTGTCATAGTTTTTTGGCATCAATGTCTTGGTCTGATAGGTTAGTTTTGCAGATGTTGTAGATTAACCTTTGTGAGTTTAACTTGGAAGTTCCTAGTACTTTTTTTCCTACGGAGCCTGGCCGATTTGCTTGCTCTATGTCGAAACGTATGTATTTGTTGTCGCTGGTGGTAAATTCTTCGAGTTATGAATCCTTCGGAGACCAGAGTAATGTCCGGGATGGCCTTACGCAGCGTATTCTTCTTAATGTGGGAGTATTTCCCCTGTTTGCTAGAACCAGTCCAAGCCGGGCTGCCATATTTAGGATTCGTTTTCCCCTGGAATTTGTTGATGTCGTTCCCCATTCTACCACTTTCGAGTTAAAGTCGCCTGCTATTACAATGTTTCCGCCGATCTCTAGGGCTTTATCTTTTATGAGGTCTAATTTTCTTTGAAAAATTTCAATCTGGTCATTTGGTGTTAGATATCAACTCATGAGTGTGTTGGTTATTTTTTATCCACACAAAGCATTAAAACCAGGTACCGTAAATAGCAGTTATTTTTTTCCAACAGTTAAACTAGGCCAGATATTTTTTAAGTTCGAAATAAAAGTCTTTCCGGATGGTAAAAAACCGCTTATCCAGATTAAACAAATTGGGTACCAAATAAAAGAGGACTTAAATAGCTTTTAAACAGAAATAACGATCGAAGGCTACCAAGGTTTGTTCTACGGTAATTAAAAAACATTTTTTATTTAAATATTTTTCAATAGCTGGCTTTCTGCTGGCTTTCCTCGTTTAAATATTTCAGTTTTGAAGCTATTTTAGTCCTGTTTCAGTTGATACCAAACTTGTTTAATTTGGATAAGCAGTTTGTTTATTATTAGGAAAGGACTTTTATTTTCGACTTAAAAATATCTGGCCAAGTTTAGCTGTTGAAAAAAAGTAACTGTTGTTTACGGTCCCTGATTAAAACACTGGTTGCTTATGTTTGTTAAGCACAGAGCCGCTGTGCGGGTCCTGTCCTCGAGCCAAGTTCCATCGTTTCGCTGCTTGTATTGTTCGCTTGTAAGCACCACACCTATAATTTTGTCCACCGCGATGTGACTCAATATTTCATCTGCAGTTTTACTTCGGTGCATGTTGGCTTGCAAAATTCCTGTTATTTGGCACAGTTTTTTCTGTATGGCCAACTGCGTTTTCTCTGGCTTCTAGAAAAAAGCAGCACCTCGGTTTATTTCGGCATTCTTTTATCCTATTGTTTGCTTCACCACAGGTAATACATAAGCTTCTCTGTCTTCGCCATTACAGTTGTACTGCATGTGGCCGAATCGAAGCATCTGAAGCATCGTTTTATGCCTTTGGCCTCGCGGATGCGTGTTTTAATCCACCCTACCTTGACTGATCCTGCTTTTAGGAGGGTCCCAGCGTATACTGCTGGTAATTTGACAAATGTGCGCATTTGTTCTCGGCTATTTGGCTTCGTAAGGGTAACGCTAATAGTTCCGGCGTCTGGAGCAATTTTCTTTAGTACTACTTGGACGTCTTGGGTTGTAAAGGCGTCAAAGTCTCGCAACTTCTCTTTGAGTCCTTCCTCCTCTGCTGAGTCGCAAAACTGGTCTCCGACTTTGGCACCTTTTTCTAGCTGAAGTAGGATAGCGCCCTTCTTTGTTTTCCGTATTTTCCGCGCGCCTACTTCATCGTCCGGGTTCACTTTGCTACATTTTTAGCACGTCAGCGTTGCTGTATCCTTCTGCTGGTTTAATCAGTATCGCGTCTGGTTTGGGAGGTCGGACTCCGAGCTTCTTCTTGCTTTTGCCATTATCTCTTGTTGGTCCGCGATTTTGAACCGATAGGTTATCTGGTCGATTCTTTTTAGGCTTAACGTCCTTCCTTTTGGATACCCTTCCTTAGCTCGTTTGCAATTTTCTGCGTCAGCTGGACTTGAAGCTGCCCTTTCGTGGACCGGTACAGTTGGCGTATCGACAATCTTCGTATACATAATTTGCCGTGTTTCCTGCTCTGCTCTTTGCCAGTTCCTTCGGCTTGCAGATATTATGTCAAAGAGATCGTCTATTTCAAAGATCCCATTTTTATACCAATTTGTCTGTTTAACCAAGGCCGTCTTCATTGGTTGAAGGCACTTAAGACATTTTTACAAAGCTTCTTCTTCTTCCAAACGCATTTTTCCGATAAAATCTTGGCGCGGTAAACCTGATTTCCTCGTGGTAGACTTCTGTATTGTATCACAGTTTACATTTGCGCTCATGGTGGGTGTTTCGATTCGCGTTGGTGTGTAATTGGAGTCGAGTTGACTGCAGGTCCTGAAGCTATAATTTTTGAAATGCTAGTCCCAACCTGCTCTTTTTCAGCTGGGAGTTAATTTAACTGCCAGAGAAGGTGACCTTTGAAGTATCACGATCTCCTGAAAGGGTCTTCTTGTACGGTAATTGCACCACCTGTTTTGTTGGTTCCGACTCAAAATTTTTTACATTTTGATTTGCGTTATTTTCCATATAAAAAGTTTCCAGCGCATCGCGTGCAGGGTGGCGGGCCGTAAAAATCGAGAACGAGTGTGCCCTCGGAGTCGCACCTAGCATTGCGTCAGACGCTGACGAGTGCACCGCCGGATACCGGTCAGACATGCACTGGATTTCTATTTCTATTTCTCTCCTTTCTTCTGCTTTATGAAAAATAAAGCGTAACATTTGCAGCTGTACCTACTGGTGTACAGACGCATGTGCTGCCGGGCCCTTAAACCGCATATACCAGGGTGGCCCCACCAGTATTTATCTGCTGTTGGGAAATCCCTCGTCGCGTGTTGCCTCCCTCTCTTGGGTAAGTGTTCCCTCGGTGCAACCCCGATGGGGCTGGGGACGCTTACTTAAGAGCGGCATCGACTCGCCTTGACGCTTAAGTTTGCAGGGCTTTTGTGGTCTTTTATGCCACGCCCTCCACTCTTACCGGTCTTAGTCAGGGGCTGCTTATTGGTTATTTGCAGCTAGCCTAAATTTAGGCCGTCCACAGCCCGCCAGTTGTGGCTCAAGATGGCCCGAGCTCTGCCTTAGAGCTATAGAGCTGGAAAGATAAATGTTAATAATAAATTAAATGTCTTCCTATGCATTGCCACAACTTGTAATAAGTATTATGTATGTTATATCGTCCTATTTATTGAACTCCTCGTTCAGCAGTAACATTCACGACATGTAAACTTGTCAGAAACAGCGCCACCGTGGTATAAAAGAGACCTAGAAAAAACGGCATAATTTTTTATTAAGTATGTATTAGATTTTCAGGTAGCACAGAAAAAAGAAATATCGCACGTTTAATAATATAGAGAAGGTAACCCAAAATTTACGTTTTTGGAGATTTCATTATGCATATAATAAGCTTGATAAGTAGAATATGTTCCGTTTAATAGATAACCACACTTCCCAAATATGGCGAATATATGTGTTTTCCATCTGTATTTTTAACCGACTTCCAAAAAAGGAGGAGGTTATCAGTTCGTCGGAATATTTTTTTTTTTTTTATGTATGTTACCGCATAACTTTGGCCCACGTCAACCGATTTCGATAGTTCTTTTTGCATCGGAAAGGTAGTGTCTCAGAGGTGGTTCCATACTAATCTGGTTAAGATCCGATCAGCGGATCATGAGATATATATATATATATTTTTTTTTATATGGGAGTTGAAGTCGGTTTTTTTTTTTTTGCTAAAAATTACTAGTTGTATACCAACTGTATGAATTGATAAAACTTTGATTGAGTTTTCCCAAAAAATTGAAATTTTGAAATACTTCGTTATATTATTAAACGTGCGATATATCGCCTAAAAACGAAACACCCTAATATACATACATACATATGTATGCATATGTTACATATTCAGATCATTTCTTCATCTCGTGTATGCCGTGATTTGAACGACGTGAAGGCAGACGAATTAATGTTAGCCGGGAACCCGGTAACGAAATCTAGCAACTATCCTGAGTGCATGCGACCTGTTCTTAAAAATTTCAAGGCCATTGTAAGGAAATATAATTCAATTTACTGTAGTACTTTCTTTAACTGTTTACTTTTTTATTGAAGGATGGAATACCTGCTGAGAATTTATCAAAAGACTATACACCGATGGACTACGAAGTTGACATTGACAAAGATGGCTACCGTGTTGATTTTAGTAATAAAGAAGATATGATAAAGTTTCTACATAGTAGTGATTGGCATGCTATCATGGTAATGAGCGTTTGGTAAATTATAAATAACACTCACCCCCATGCTGAAATCCAAATTTTCGTAGTTACGAATTCAGAGCTCCGCTCCGCAATATATAAAAATGGTATGCAGTAATTCGGCCGTAACTATTTACCGCGTTGCCAACCAAAAACAAGAAATTCGAATTTCTCATACAGCTATTTTGACACAAATAAAAAATTTTATGATTGCAGGTGAAGAGTGAAATCTAAAACCAGTGTCTGTTAGCCATTTGTAAGGCGTTCCCATGACAGTCGGGTCTACGTAACCGGAACGACCCAGATTTACATCTGGCCAAGAACTGTCACTCTAGCAACACTCCCCAAAAACTCTTTGGGGAATTTCTGTGCTGTTACAACAACAACAGCCATTTGTAAGGAAGTTGCACTTGCCTCCCAGGAAGAACATGCTTTAAGAATTTAGTTAAGATGTGCTTCTAATCCATTTAGCTTCTATGACAAAACTTCGAAATTACGATACGACAACGCGGATTTGAGCATACCTGTTATACGATTCTTAGCGAAGTCAAATGTACGGTTTCAGCATGGGGGTTATACAACCACGAAAAATGTATTGAATATACTTTTTCGTGGTTCCTACGTTATTTACGTACAGTGACGAGCAAAACTGTAACATGGAGTAACACTTTTTATTTCAGCTGTCGCTATCTTTCCAAGTTCTAACGACATTCATACTGTTGTTGTATATTTTTATTGGTACATCTTTGCTTCCTCTGTCATAACGATTTGAAGTCAATTCAACAACATTAACAAAACCAGCAGACAAAAATGTAAACTAAGGCAAATGTTACAGTTTTGCACTCATATATTTTTAATAACTTTTTTACAATTTTCACAAAAAAAAACAATTATTAACACAATGTTCAGTATGCTTTTGCTTTATTTAGTTCCTGGTTGCAATTTGGCATACCTAATGTGTATGTCTGTAAAAATTCTGGAGGTATAGCCTCCCATATATCCTTGGTGTGCTTTCACAGCTCATGTACTCCATTGGACGGACTTGGATACTTAGTAAGATGCGCTTTTAGTTGATTTCGCAAATTCTCGATGAGATTCAGGTCCTCGGATTGTGGAGGTCATTTCAAATTAGCAAATTTATGCTTTTGTTCCAGTCTTCGCGAACATGTGCAGTGTGTTTTGGTTGCTTTTTCAGCAGAAACTCTAATTTTTTCGACTACATCTTGCAAATTTTGTTGAAATTTGAACAGATACTGTTCCTTAGGCATAATGCGTACAAACGGATCAACAACATTTTTGAAATACAACCCCAAACTAATATTGACCGACCACTGTGATTCACAGTTTGCCTTACATGATGCGCTTAGGCTTAATTTGGGCCTTTGATCCAATACCATGCCCGGCCATCTGATTGAAAGCGATTAATTTAGTCTTGTCAGACTAAATAACCCTCAAATAAATCTTAAAAATGTGTTTTTTATTGCATTCTGTAAGGCCTAACATATCCCAATAGGCAACGGTCCGGGTTTCGTGCGATGCAGCAAAACGCTGCCACACTGGCACATGTATTTTGATAAAATTTGCTTTTTTCTTCTTTTATGATCCATTTTGCTCAATTTGGCAATTTTTCGCCTCACTATCTACTGATTTGCATTCAATTTTAATACCTTAAGCGCTTCTGTAGTAGTGCCTGCAGCGCTACTTGCTACTAAGTTCACAAGATATCGGACTGAAATATATTTTGACAGACTTCCTTTGTCCTTAGTAACACTTTAGGCTATATTTTTTCTCGGTCTTAACATTTTCATGTGGCAAACTCCACAATTTTTTGCAACTTTCCCTGCGGTCCCGCCTTTCCGCAGTAAATCTATTATTTACATTTATGTTTCCTGATTAACCATATTATTTATTGGTGATCACTTCTTGAATAAATTACAATACAGAAAAAAGTCATCTGACTTCCAACTAAGCAAAAGATAACTGTAAAATGCAAAACTGAGAATGAGTGCAAAACTGTAACATTTGCCTTAACTTACATTTTTGTCTCCAGGTTTTTTTATTGTTGTTGGATTGACCTCAAATCGTTATGAGAGCGGGAGTAGGGGTGTACCAATAAGAACATACAACAAAACTATGAAAGTCGTTAGAACTATGAAAGATAGCGGTGGCTGAAATAAAAAGTGTTACTCCATGTTACAGTTTTGCTCGTCACTGTATATCTGGTAATGTTAAAAAGAGGTACTCAAAATTTTCAAATGACCTTCAAAATCTGAACTTTTAACCAAAAACCCCTTTTTCATAAGTTGAAACATTCCATATTAAATCGATGGTGGCAGCTGATTTGATTATTTGGGCTCAAAATGTATTTGCATGTGAATCTTTAAAAAAGGTAATTGAAAACCAGACTTTGGAACTTTTGCTTAACCCAGGAACATAAACGCTATTATGGGAACATAAACGCTGAAAAGGATGTTTTGTTGCTTCTAGAATGATTTTTTTATTAACTTTTTTTTATTTAAATTTGTATTTATATTTCACATCGCCTACTATAATTTTTATAAAAGTAGATTATTCTTTTGACATTTTAAATACCAGAGCAACAACAATATACACGTAACTGCCATACCTAAACAAAAGCGTCAGCGTTGTATGGATGTCAAAAAACTCTCATGCCTTTACACTTTGTATGAAGCATACCGAAACAACGCGGCGGCAACGTTGAGCGGTTGGGAAATGCGATTTTGACAGGGCGTTAGGTATTAAAGTTGGCTGCAGAAAACGGCGAAACTGTCATTTTCGTATTACACACAAACCAATCTTATTGTTGGTGTTATTTCTGCATTTGACGTGGCGTTAACGCTTTTGTTTAGGTATAGCAGTAAAGCTCTACCCAGAATTACAGCGGACGACGTTAAAGCGGTCGGCGGCAAGTGAACAGCTGTACAGTTGCCGCAGTGAAATCCATCAGAGTAAACACAGTTGCGGCGCACGACGGCTTCCGTCAGTTGTCGTTTTGATTTGTGCGGTATTCTTTGGCAACCCTACAACTTTTAGAAGACAAAGAATAGGCAATAGAGGTTGAGAGCGGAGACGTGAGTGCAGCGACACGTGTAAAAAAGATCTGATTGTTAGAAGCTAGAGGTTAATAACAAGAGACTTTTGGAAGTTTCATGTAGTGGTCGGAGCTTACCTGGGGAGAAATTGGTTTCCAGAGTTAGGAATCGTTTTGGAGGTGATAGGAGCCGAGAAAAACGAGTTGAAACTCAAATACAGCAGAGTATTTAGTAAAGCTTTAGGAGCACACCATGAACCACCCATATTACTTGAGCTGACGCCGGGATCAGAACCTATTTTTCGATCAGATCTTGCCCCATTGCGTTGATACCAGCTGTCGAAAAAGAAATCGAGAAGTGGATAGCACAGGAAATATTAGAGCCTACTTCCTTTTCGCGATGGGCTACGCCGATTGTCCCCGTACTCAAAACGAGTGGCGATATAAGAATCTGCGGCGATTACCGTAATACGGTCAATGCGGTGATAAAACCAAATGCTTATCCCCTACCACTTTTTTCGAAAGTAAAAGCGGCCATCGCCGGAGCAGAATTGTTTACAAAACTAGACTTAGAGCAAGCCTACCAACAGTTAAATGTAGACGAGATCTCGGCGGAGATACTCACATTGTACACCCACAAGGGTTTATACAAGGTGAAGCGGTTGCCGTTTGGAGTGTCAGCAGCTCCGGGACTTTTCCTGAGATTTTGGATATGACATTATTATTGCACGTAAAAATAGAATAGAGCACTCTCAAAACTTAGAGGCAGTACTGAATCGAATCGAAGAAGCAAATTTAACAGTAAACAAAGACAAATGTCTTTTTGGGCAAACGCAATTAGATTTTTCGGGATACCATATTAGCAAGCAGGGTGTCTCACCAAGAAGAGATAAAGTCAAAGCTATATTATTGAATTTCTATAACACATTTTTACCAAATAAGGCAACAGAAGCAAAAGAACTTTATCGACTACTTGACAAGAAGGCCCGGCGGAAGTGGACAAAAGAACACCACAAGGCTTTTGATAATTTGAAAGCAATGTTAAACTCGGATAGCCTGCTAATACATTACGATCCAAAAAAGCTTTTAGTGTTGGCCTGTGACGCATCACCATATGGAGTAGGTGCAGTGTTAGCTTGCCGTAACAAAGAAGAGCGGCTCATTGCATTTGCATAATGGACATTGGGTGTAATTACGCTCAGATTGATCGTGAACCGCTCTCAATTATTTGTGGCATCAAACATTTCCATCAGTACCTGGCAGGAAGAAAGGTAATCATAGTGACTGATCAAAAGCAGATATTTATTTATTTAATACATCAATTAGAGTACAACTCAAATAGATTACTAAAAAATTAAAAAATAATAATGAACAATAAAAATGTGTAAACATAGACCTACCATAAAACAGATAGACTAATTACAATTTAAAAAATGCAGCCTGAGATTTAGTTTAGATTTAAAACACTCACGAGAATTTGAGAATACATCTAAATTTTTACAAACATGGTTAGTCTGCCTCAGACAACGTGTAAGCGGCTCATTAAGCATGAAGTTGGTCTTGCAATAAGGTAAATAGAACATGTCGCTGAATCTGAGATCCCGAGCAGGACAATTGAAATGAATAAGCTCAAGCAAGAAGTGGCAATTGATATGACTCGTTACTATGTCCCTAATAAACATTATCGAGGAAATTTGTCTACGCATTTCTAATGTCGGCAATGCCAGAATAAGTCACCTACTCTTATAATTAGGCATACTACAATTCCAATTCAGGGAGTGAATGGCATATGTAGTAAAGCGTTTCTGGACCTTCTCAATCCTTAAGGATGAAGCCGAATAGAAAGGATCCCAAATAATGCTGCAATACTCAAGATTGGATCTTACAAATGCAAATTACAAGCTCTTGAGAGTGAAAAGGTCCCGGAATTCATTTGACTCACCTGGACTTGG